TGCCACGGCTGTTTGTGGGGACGGGCGGGGACGGGCACTGAGCACACAGCCACGCGGCTGGAGCTGAATCCGCACCCAGGGCGAGAACTCCCGGGGAGCTGCCATTTCCCCGACACACCTGACCGCTGAACCCCCCGGGCCTCACCTCTGCAGGACCATGGGCGTAGGCAGGGTGTTCTCGGGGGCACACTGCAAAGACACGGAGCCAAGCGCTAGAGGCAGGCCCGGACCCAGCCTGAGGTCCCGCTGCCGCCCAGGGGTAACCTCAGTCCGCCCCACCACCCAAGACCAGGACTGCCGCTGGTGCACAGCGGACAGAGACCCCCACCCTGCAGCCAGCCCTCGGCACGGAGGTGGAGACCCCGACTGCAAGGCCCACCCACGGACGTCTGAGACGCAAGTGGGGACAGGCACTGTGCAGGGACAGCGCGACGGCGGCCTGTGGGACCCAGAACCCCAGCGCGTATTTTAGCACTGCCTGGTGGCCTCACTCCTGCAGGCAGAGGGCTCAGCCCCCACCTGCTCAGGGGACACGGGGTGCCGGCGCCCCAGCTCTGCCCACTGGCACAGGGCCAGCTCTGCACGGCCCCTCCTGGCGGTGAGATTTTGGAGGCGTCCCTCAGGAGCCCCGAGGCCCTGCACATGGGGGTTCCCCCAGACTTGCTCCAAGACGGCCCACTCACCCCCTGCACCCAGGGGTGCTGCAGGACCTGGGCGGCGCTCAGCCTCTGCTTGGCGTCTCGCACCAGCAGCTTGGAGATGAGGTCTTTGGCAGCAAAGGAGATGTGGGCCCAGTCCTTGTCGGGGAACTCGTACTTGCCTTCCTGGATGCTCTCAAACAGCATGTTCTGGGGGCAGGCGCAGGCGCAGGCGGTCAGCGGCCGGCCTCGCCCCACCCGCGGCTCACTCCCAGCTCCGCAGGGCCCTGGGACCAGCTGGCAGGGGCCTCCCGGGGGTGGACGGGGCAGGCTCTGCCCGTGGGGGCCTCACCAAAGGGAGGCTCTGGGCGCCAGGGCTGCAGGGCTGCCCCCTCAGCTCCCGGCCCCGGCCCAGTGGACCTGATG